CAGACGTGCGCAGCGTCAGAACCTGGATTGGATCGATTTGAACGAAGAGCAACCTCAGGAACCTCGTTCCTTGGGCGGGGAGTGAATGAGGTTGGGCGGAGAAATGGAATATTTGGATTGATCAGAGATCTTTACTTTATATTAACATCAACGGGATCATCCCTCGCTGCTTCTGCTGTTTGAGTGAGCGAAGAGATTCCGACAACAGTCCCGTATCCAGGGTCTAAATAGAGCTGAAAGAGTGAGGAAGCTTAAATAAAAAAAAAGACAAAGAGAAACGGAGAAGGGGCCGGGTTTCATTAGGGAGCTTAAGCAGCGACGTTTTTGAGCGACGCACGTCAACCGGAAGTGAGGTATTTTCCCTCTTAACATACCTTGATGATATAAAATTTGTATTCCTTGGCTTCTTTACTGTTATAGAGGCGATTTGACTGAAAATTTGCGCGAAACCACCGTCAAAAAATGAAAAAAGACCACTTCCGGTTGACGTGCGTCGCTCAAAAACGTTGTTGCTTAAGCTCCCTATTTTACAATACGAGCTGGGAATCGCGAGAAATAATCTGGAATCAGATCGAGAGAATGCCAATACTGGCAATGCTCTCATTCTGATTTAATTTTGACTTAAAAAATATTTTAGCCAACGAAAACGTAGAATTCGGATTTAATTCTCACAGTTAAATTGTCTAACGGTTTTCGCTAATGTCGGAAACGTCTTAAACTTGATTTCACAGCAATGCTCTAGAGGAGGCTGTCATGGAGTTTGTGACTGTCGATCATGTCTGCAGCTCTGTGATGCCGGTAATTGCACCATGGAATGCAATGCAATGCAATGCCAGCATAATTGCATGGGTGGAGGCTGTAATCTTACATGTCCTGATGGAGCATTGTGCAAACTACACTGTGGAGCTCATCAAAACTGTACTATCACAAGAAAAGTGAAGCCAACAAAATTTGGCCACTTGACTACGACAGTATCACGGACATCAGACGAACATGGAATCCATCTCAACAAAAGAACGACCAACAATGGCTGCAGCTTTGATCCCTGTAGGACTCTCTTTATGGTTGTCACGACCGTTATGTTTTTGTCCTTTTAGCTTTGATTAATGCAGCAATCAGTAAAATCGTGGAGTTGCAGATTTTCTTTAACGCATCTTTCAAAACAATCTGTGCGAGAAACTGTGGGTCAACAACTTTACTTTTCAATTTATTGGCTTTGTTCATGCTGTCTCCCACAGCCACGACTTGCAGGATCAGCATTTTTGCCGATCTGTGCGCCAGTAAATCCAATAAGACAAACTGGCCAGGAGGTGGGTTGGTGTACATGTGTCAACTGCTTTTAAATTTGTCTTGTCTCTCCCTGAATGTTTGCAATAATGTGCAAGAAGACCTGCTTCATACAACAGCTCCTTCTTAGGCGCCTTAAAGTTTAGGTGTGTGGCACTGGTACATAGCACCCAAGCCTTTCGATGGGCCGTCGTTGGTGCCATGAGGCGGGGCCTACTGTGTTGCAGCTCATAGGGATATAGCCTCTCGCTCGGACGTTTTTTAGGGCGTCGACACGCGTGGCGAAGCCATAAGTGCCTCTGCGGAGGAAGCAGCAAAAGAATACTAAGCATATTCCATGATTCTTGAGACTGCAAGTATCGGGGAAATCAACTCCCACCCGTTATTAGCCCATTAGCATTAGCTTCTGGGAATGTTGCAGCCTGTGAGTGCCCTGCAATACAATGTATTTAAAGACCACTAGACGCCCACAGCATTTTTCTCGAAAAAGGTCTTATACTTACCTATTGTTCAAACTTTTTTCACATATCATTAAGGTTGCTGTTTTTATAGCAAAACTGTTTCGAACTTTAGTTTCACATTATTAACCCCTTGGCGACGGATCTAGTGGATCTGGTCAATCGTTTTCTATCTGGAACGATGCAAACTATTTACTTCTGAACCATTCATTAAGCTCCATATTTTAAGTGATTACTTGATAAGCGGCGAATTCAGGAAGGATAGATCTTTTTCAGAGATACCTTATCTTGGAAATTCTGGTCAATCCTGCCAATTTTACACACATAACCTAGAAACATTTTTTTGGGGAAAATCCACAACCAATTTCGCTGTTCATCAACTACTCGTTTATCGGACAAAACTTTATACTTTCCTGGAAAGCAATATTAATTAATAAGATGAGAGTGTCTCTAACCTCCCAGGTTCACGTTGCTCACCCCTACTTAGGAAAATAGTCTGTATTCAGTTGTTTAGAACAGTCTGATGTCCAACTTACGTAATTATGTAGAGGCTAAAGTTATAGTGATTTATTATCTTTAGGATTTAGAATATTGATTTTCTAATATCATATCAAGTGCGTTCTATGTTCCAGTGTAAACTTGTGTCTAGAAAATTATTATCCCTATATTCAAAACATGTAAATAGCAAAATTAGGTCTTCCAGTGCAACGTGCTTTTGATCACATGTAAATTAAGCACTGTGGAAATAATATACAGTCGAGCCTCTCCTTGCGAAAACCTCTATAATACGGACACCTCTCTATTACGGACAGTTCGTTTGGTCCCAGAAATGCCAAAAATCCTACATTCCCTACCTATATAATACGGACACCTTTGTAAAGCGGACACTTGGCTCTGTCCCTTTGGTGTCCGTATTAAAGAGGTTTGACTGTATTGTCATTACTGTTACTCGTGTATAGGAAAAGGAAGGCAGATAATTTGTCGGTAAACAGTTAAAAAAGTTTTGAACAGCCATGGGCCAACAAAGGGCCATGCACCTGCAAACTACGTCTAATCTAAGTCATAATTTGTGACATAGCAATATTTTCATTACTGCAAACATTGTCGTCCATTAACAACCACACCGGGATATAACTGTGAAAACTAATACATCTCATCTAGCTGGTTTACGGGTTGCGGATAGGATAATATTCCATTGAAGAGTCAAAAAGTGTCAAATGCTTTTAAGAAACAGACGTTTTGAGTATATAACCCTTCTTCAGTATCAAGAAAACCGTTATTAGGAGGGCTACCGGCAATTGTCATAGGCATAAAAATGAGGCGCGTGCGCGTGTAAATAATAGCGAGCGCAGCTGAAATTGATATTTAGTCTTTTAGGTTTGAAGGGTTCCTAGCTGCAAGAAAACCCTCAATTCACGCTGATTCGGTTGGATATCGGTTCCACTGCATAGAGCCATCCCCACAACACACACCTGGAAATCGGAAATACTGTGGCCCGTGGAGTTGAAATGTTGCGCCACAGGAAGCCCAGGAATGTTGTTACGCATGCGTATACTTCGCAAACGTTCGCTAAAACGACTCCTGAGGTTTCGTTCAGTTTCACCAATGTAAAGAACTGGGCATCGGCGGCAGGATATGCCGCAGTAAACAAGATTTTCCGATTGGTTAGAATGTGAAAAAAAAATGCACTTTATTTGAGTGTCAATGTATTTAGTACTAAAGTACTAATTGGGGACACTATTTTTTACTTCCCTTACTGGAGAGGGGACCGCCATTTTACGTGGTCATCCAAGCCACGCGAGGGTCTAGCCGCTTGCAGTACGAAGGTAGTACCTTCATTCCTCAGCAGGAGCCAATTGATTGGCTCCTCTTTCTCAGTTATTTTAAGACCCTCAGTAAGGGAATCGAACCCGCGATACCGACTGAGCGAACACTGCCGCGGTTGAAAGTTCTGCAGTAGAAATCCTTTGACGTCGGTGCTAAACGCGTGGCATGCGAGATCAAGACGCACCCGATGAACGGTTGCGAAACTCTGTTCGGATAGGTACAGCACGTCATGACGGTTAATAGTTGCATTGTTGACATGAGTTAGGCGGGTGGGTTTTCTAGTCATTGTTAAGAAAAAATTAAAAATATCGCAACATTATCGAGAGAAAGAATTGTAGCCAACAAATACTGAAGGTTGTAACAATTAAAAGCAGCAGTCAAAGCCTAAAAAAACACACCTTGCCTTTTTGTTAAAGGAAGAAAGTTTGTTTTAGAACTTCCTCTTTTAAGCTCGATCGAGAAGTAAATGATATAAAAACCGCATATTTTATGCATACGTGATAACACGCCTTCAATTCCTGTTACGCCTGGGCTTATTGTCTTAAAGGCAGCTACGCCCCTGCTTCCTGTATTTAACTGCTAAATAGTGTAGTTTATGATTGTATATATGCGTATTCTTAAATTGGTACTTAAGCACATTTCCATTTATGGGCTTATCTGCATTAGCAGACTAAAATTAGGCATTTCCGTTGAAACATCTAAAACAAACATTTTTGGGTGATATTTTTTAACTTCTATTGGGCCGTTTAAATCTGACAACACTTGCATTTGTTAATGGAAAGAATTATGGCTTTACAACAAATGATTGACGAGAAAAACACATTATAGTATATTCAATCGATTTTGCCTTGTTTTTGCCCGAAGCAAATTTTGTCCGCGGCACCTTTGAAGACTTTCTCGTCTCAGACAAAATTTTAAAAAAAGCGCGACAAACCATCCGCATCATTTGTTTGGCGTTAGTGATGACAGAAAATTTGTCTCAATTAATAAATAACTTTTTCGCTAATGAAAAAAGGCCCTATCTTTTCAATCGATTTCTTAATACTCTGGTTGGCTTAAGGTCAGTTGATAACTGACACCATTATACAAACTCACTTTAAGCAGCTGTGCTGAGGCTTCGCAGGGGACTTACAATTGCCAATAAAAGTTCTGAATCAAACAGGATACGCAATATAGAGAGCAGTAATTCAAAGTTGCTTGACTGCATACGTACAATTCTACAGATACGTCGCAAACCTAAGCATGAACTCAATGGCGAACGGATCCAGCGGGTTTTGGAGCTGCTCTAATTTCACTGCGTGGAAAATCGCAGGAACCGTTGCCTTTTGTCTGATCATCATCGTCTCACTGATCGCAAACTCTCTAATTGTTATCCTCGTTTGTAAAACGCCGAACTTAAGAAAACCGATAAATTATTTCATCGCAAACATGGCTTCATCTGATCTGCTGTATCCAATATTCTTGATGCCTTGGAACCTGTCATTCTTGCACACCAACACGTTTCTTATCGGTGGTCAGCTTGGTCAGGCCTTGTGTAAGCTTGTCCCTTTCATTATTTCCGTTTCCTTTGTCGTTTCCACTCAGAATCTGATTCTGATAGCGGTGGATCGCTTTGGAGCCGTGGTATTTCCACTCCGTTCACCACTCATCACATCCAAACTGTGTCCCTTCTTCATTCTCGCTACATGGATAGTTGCCGCAGCGGTCAGTTCGCCAGACTTGTTCACTTACGAGCTCGTTGAATACCCAGAGGGAACCTGCAGGTGTGTTGAGAACTGGAAGACTGAAGCATTCGGAGAGTCCTCATCCTTTGCCAGATTCTCATTAGCTTACTACATTCTGTTTATATACATACCTGTGCTGTTGCTAGTCATTCTTTATTCCATCATTGTTATCAAGCTCAAGACACAGGTACACCCAGGTGAACAGTCCGCCAACAGTCAGTAACAGCGGGACAGAAGAAACAGAAACGTGCTTCAAATGTCCATTGCTATCGTAACAGTGTTTGTGTTCTGTTGCTTACCTTACTCTATAAACTTTTTAATCACGCAGTATCAGGACACTTTCACGCATTTATCGTGTAGTTTCTGGATATACAAAAAAGTCATCTTTTATGTGGCTAACGCGTACTGTGCTATCAACCCAGTTATCTGTTTCATATTTAGCAGTAATTACCGAAATGCTCTTAAAAGACTCATAAAATGTTCTTTTGTACAGGCGTAGATCGAGAAAAGAAGGAAGGAATAAAACGGACAATGAAAAACACGTTGAATTTTAGCGCCACCCAAGGGTTGACAGTAATGTTTACGTCGTCAAAAGAACTTGAGCAAAGAAAAAAACCGCATGTTTTTGTGGCACGTACGCCGTTCGCCCATTGCAAAAAAATACATGAACCAAAAAGTTAAACAGGAAGTTTAAGCGGCAAGGTGTTGTCTTTTACACAAAATCAATCAAATGGCATTGCCCCTTTGATAAATTTTGATCACTTATGTTTAAATGCCTAATGGGCGTATTTCTACATGCAAATAATATGTATCACACCAGTTTAAAATGTCCACTCATATTGGTTTCCAAATATCTTTTCAATCCGGATTTCTCAATACAACCAAAATGGCTTTAAAATAGCATCTATTAGTCTGTTCAGCTTGAAAGGACGGCCGCCATGTCGGTCTTAATAACAATCAGGAGACAAAACTACAATAGTGATAAATTGTTATCGTTCGTAAATGAGACGATTTCCTGCGCTCTTGACCACAAGACTCCCTGATGACTATTGTACACTTCCATGTGGGGCTAAGAGCCACATTAAAAATGTTCTTGTCGTTCCCTTTTTACTACCTATTTGACACAAATTCAACATACGTTTTGAAATGGGCGTTTTGAAATCATTAGTCAAGAAGAAGAAACTAACAGCTCTACACTAGTGAAGAATTTAATAATAATAATAATACAGGCATAATGCAGCTTTGAAGATTCTGTTTTTTGAGCTCCTGCGAGAGCATGGGTTCATAAAAGAGGTTCCACCATGGTACTCACCGGTGATGCCAAAACCAGCCTACCAGAACACCACGAGTGAGGCGTTTTGGGATATTCCCATCTATGCAGAGCACAACGAAGTTAGAGCAAATCGGATCGACGCGCGACTTGTCAGCCACGAGAGGAAAGAAGTCTGCACAATTGAAATGAGCTGCCCATGGATTGAGAGTAGAGCTAAGAAAGATGAAGAAAAGACACTCAAGTATGGGCCCATGATGTGGGAGCTGAAGCAGAGGTACATTGGTTACAGGGTTGAACAGTACAACGTAATAATTGACGTACTGGGTGGTTACTCTAAACACCTAGAGAAGTCGGTGAGGAAACTACTTGGAGCGAGAGCACGGGGCGGATGCAGAAGTCAGTCATCTCAAACAATTTGAACATTGCCAGAACATTTAAGATAAATACTTAGTTAGGGCGCTAAGGACTCCAGTTTTTAGGTTTTTTTTCCTCTAGAAATCCAGAAACACAAGTTTGCTGATGTTTTTACTAAGATTTTTTTAGAGTATCAGAGTTTGATATTTTTCTAAATAGGCTTTTACTAGAGATAACCATATTATGATGGCCTTGTTTAGGTATGTAAGAGATAATGAGAGTATAAAAACTGAATAGTTTTCTAAACAGGCTTCTAGAGATAATTATATCATCATGTCTTTGCGTAGGTTTTACGGAGTATAAGAATTTAATAATATTTTAAATTGGCTTTTTAAGTAGAGAGATTCCCGAGAGATTCATATCATTATGTATATTAGGATTGTATTAGGTTTCGCACCGACCTTTTTTTACTTCTAAGTATAGCTTCTCACTATACTCCTCATAATGTGGACAGCATTCCAAAGTTTTATACTGCGAGATAATAATAATAACTTCATAAAAAATACAATCCTGGTATTTACATGTACTGTTCTGAGCAATGAAAATGCAAGCAACAGAGGTTGTAGGCTTCCAAAAAAGTCCTTCGACCGATTTCAATTGCGCTGGCTATATGAAAAGGGGTGCTCTTCAGTGGTTACTGTATGATATTGTTTAAATTTTGTTTAGAAACCAATTCTTTGTTCTCTCTCTTTGCTTTCCTTGGTTTTATATTGACTGGACAACCCAACTTGAAAGTGAAATTTAAGAAAGAAAATCGATTTGACAAAGTAAATAACTCGAAGGTTCAATGCTAATGAGTTTCTCCTAGCCAATTACAAGACCTACTCAAGCACTGATATGAGTTTTAAAGCGTTTGAGTCACGCTGGTCATTATAAAAATGATTGCCACAGCGTTATTAATCGAGCGATAAAATTGTAACCAACAATTCGTAACATTAAAAGCAGTCAAAGAAGTAACAAGCCTCGTCCATTTATTTAATTTGTTGAGGAAGAACCTGCTAGTTCCCCTTTGCCGACAGCACACTCCTGGTTTTATAAAGACCCGTTTTTAGTTCGATGGAGAAGTAAATGATATAAATAAGACTGCCTGCTTCATGCTCACATGATAACATGCATTTATTTTTGCCTCATATTTTCAAGTTTAAAGCCTGTTCATAGTTTAATGGCAGGCAGTTTCGCCCCTGCTTCCTGTGAAAGTTTACCTGCCAAATTGTGTACTTTATGATCGTATTGCTAAAGATAACATTTCACACACCTGTTTAAATTGGCATTAAGCATGTATTTTCGATTATCTTTTCAATCGTTTTCTCATGCACCGTAGCTACATGACACGTTCCCTTAGGCTGTACTTTGATGTTACCATGCATACAGCTATTTCGAGAAAGGTTGTCTGAAAACATGTGCACGCTACTATCCCGAGAAGGTAATATGGGATATGATCAATACACTGTTCCTGACACCGTAGCTGTCGAACCTACTTTTGTTGCTTTCCTTAATCGCAAACATTCGTCTATGGCCTGTCAAATTTCTTTAAAGAACAGTCAGAACTCAAAACTACACCCCCCCCAATACGTTTCGGGATTTAGTAAGAGGTTCGTAGAACACTCACGAATAAATGTATCATGACTATCAGAGTACTCCACCGCTTTGAGCCCGGGGGGAGTACTCCCTTATATAGGCCATATAGGTATGTGCCCCCCCACCAAAGGGAAGGTTTTTGCGCCGTTTTGGTCTGAAAACGGGTAAAGAGTTTGCCCATGTTGGGGCATTTTCGAAATGAATCAGAAAGGAAGAGTAATGAGCGAATTCGAAATGGTTTTGAAGAAGTCGTTTCCGGTTTGAGCTCTAGCATAAAAGTGATGACCGTATTTACACCTCTACCATGTCTGAAAACGGGTATCGGTTTAAGAGGCCGGGTCTGTAACATTTTTTTGGTCTGAAATAGTGTCAGGATTTGAAGAACTGGGCGGCGCTACATGAACCCCAACAGAAATTCCCTGGAATACCCCCAGGGGACGTTGGGAAGGTTTTAATGACTGCGAAAAATGACAGCATAGGCGACGTATGGTGAGAGTTTAAGAGGTATATGAAACTCAGCCGCGAACCATTACAAACGTTATAGGGGTGTGGGCAGGAGAAGTACAAAAGTATTCGTTCATATAAGGGAAAATTTATTAACTGAAAATTTAAGGGAAATGTCGAAGATAAAATTTGAATACCATTATGAAATATCTTCTAGTAACTCTTAAGTGTCTGTCTATTGTTGTAACTTCTGCTGTTCAGCAAATATTGCATTTCTTTAGTTGTCCTCACACATTCATAAATAATTTATGACAAAGGTTAGCCAAACATTTTCAATAAAAATAGCTCAACACCTCAGTTCGGTGGATCGACTAATTGTTCTGAAGTACAAACATTAACCACAAAGGACTGCAAAGGACCGCAAACGAATATGCCGGAGAACGTAGGATCTATAAAGCCTGATCAGCAAAAATGAAAAATAGACATATTAAATTCTGCAAGCAGAATACTGCAATGCTGATCGTACTACGTGAAAATTAACTCTGCAAGACATCAACACGACACCGAAAGAACTCAAAATAGAGCGGGATTGTAGCCTTAGACAGCTGTTTCGCCCTCGTTGGGGCTCATCAGTATGGCGTAACAACCAGAAAGCTCTGGTGCAAAATATCCGCGCACTCTGATTTAAGCTCTGACCCAGAACTCCCTTTCCTTGCTATTTTTTTCCCCAAACAGAGAGCCTGTTCACAGGCTATATTCTGCTTGCAGAATTTAATATGTCTAATTGTTCTGACATGATTTTCAAACTGTTGTTTTAGTACCTTCCTCACTCTCAGGAGTTGTTGTTTATTGTTTAAATTCTGTTTAGAAGCCAGCCGCGACTTTGTTCACTCTCTTTGCTCTACTTGTTTTATATTGACTGGACAATGCAAGCTTTATGGTGATTCCAAGGTTCCATACATGCTAATAAGTCGCCCCTATAGCCAATCGCAAAAGACTTTTCAGGCATTGATATGAGTTAAGCGGGAGAGTGGGGTTTCTTGTGAAGTGCCACAACGTTATCGAGCGATAGAATCGTAGCCAACAAGTACAGAAGTTCGTAAAAATCAAAGGCGGTAAAAAAAGAAACAACCCTTGTGTTTTCGTTGAATTTAGTCTAGACTCTTGGTTTCATAACTTCCCATTTTTTTTCGATCGAAAAGCGAATGTTATAAAAACTTCATGTTTTATGCATAGTTGATGAATATGCACTTATTTTTGCCTCATATTTACCTGCTAAGCCTGAGCTTAATTGCTTGAAGGCAGCTGCGCGAGTTTAACTGCCAAATTGTGCACTTTATGATCGTATTGCCAAAGATAACATTTCACACACCCATTAAGTGTAATTAGCATCAAGCACGTATTTTCAACTATATTTTCCTAGAGCACTTTACAGAGAAACGACAGAACTACAACTGATGTGAAGTATATGAAATAATTCATTTTTGAACTGCGGTTGTAGATGAAAGTGAAGA